TATTCCGGACGAAGCCGAAGCCGCAAACCCAACAGGCAGACGAAACGACAGACGTCAACAACAAGCCCAAAGGTTCCGGATAAATCCCCAGGAAAACATCCTACTAATCATCAATCTTCTCAAAAATGGAGGTGATATATATCCATATATATATATTTATGTGTGTGTGTATGTTGGTCTCTCGTTCTGTTTGCTCGCTTAGTCTGTGACCATTTCACTTTGATGAACCTGTCTACTTTAACAATGTATATTCCCCTTATATTATATATAATATGAGTGTTTGTTGACAGTCCGTTGCTTGGTGACATATATCCATATATGGTGGTTGTTGATATGTCTGCTATATTTTGCTATGTATATATGGATCGATACTTCATTATAATTAGCCATTCATGTTAAGACTGTCTAATGATTGTTCACACCCTTGTCATATATATATTTCGTTCTCACAATTTTGTGACACACTGACTTACACTTACTTACTTACTTTGGTGTGATACCACTTATTGCTTCTCCTTGTGTTTGGAATATAGAAGTATCATCGCAAACCTAGTGGTCTTCTGATTTCCGCTTTCTTGCGTCAGGACTATTAAATTCTCGACCAGTACATAACAATAATTTGGCGACGAGTACATAACAATTTGGCGACGGAGAAAACTACTATTAACCACTCAACAGCAGCAACATTACAGTGGCCAAACAAAAACGTGGCATCAATCCATGAAATCCTTGACAGTTAAACTGAGTCGGGTAGGGAGTTGCAGACTCCCGGGTTGGGGCCCTCGGGACTCTAGGAATCAATGGCTGGAGACAATAGGTGACATGGCTCAAAGTGATCGTTGTCAATGGCGCAGATGTATTCAGTCTCTGTAATTTTTTCATATTCCTTTCTACTATTGCCCATTCTGTTTCACTCTTATACTTGTAAAACTCTATTAATTCTCTCCACTCATCTTCTTGTCTACCTCTGTGTGTTATTCGGAATGTGGTAACTCGAACTGCTGCACTTCGGTGCCAAGTTCTATGTTGAATCCAGACAGACGGAGACAGACATGGGTAATAGGGTAGTGGCAATATCAGAAACTCCTACTAGATTTTCATTTATGCGAGATCAACGATGAAGAGGATTGTAAATCTCAGTGACAAATTGATATCAATGAGAAAAAATAGTGGGTGTTTTGGTGTACTGGTGTATTTAAAGTTGCTTCAAAATTTAACTCATTCTGATTTGTGTGATCCTAAACCATTTTCATGTTAATACAACAACTACCTACCTAACATCTCGCAAGAGACCTATTAGAAGCTGTTTTGTTTACAGAGACAATAATCTAGCATACATTTTTAGTAAGTGATCTGAAGTGAAGTAATGTTAACTGTTAGTATTATTTGTTCCTGAAAGTTCCGTTTAGTATCATCATACAGTAACACCTATGCTTGCACTTTTTTTTAACTATTTTACACGTATGTTAATGTATATTCCTTCTCACAAATTGGAAAGCTCTGCGTGTTTCTCCTACAGTCTGCTTTGGGAGGTCAATGGAAAATCTTGTGACATCTATTGCCTCATATACACGTACTTTCAGTTCTCATGAGCCTCCACTGCTTCTTGGTATATATATATATATTTCCTTCACGTTCCCCAGTGGAACATAGGACTTCAAGCTAGTGGCTAGAAGTTTCTGTAGCAGTATTCATTTTTACAGGATGAGGTTGCTAGCCTCATTTCCAACCTTTCCTCTTTACCAGCGTTATTTCTGGCTCAGCAAGGTAAAGGAGTACGTCGGTCGGGGATCGCACCCCGGATCATGTGCATGGTCGGCGAGGGTCCTAAACGCTATGCCACCGACGCACTTCTCGGTATATATATATATATATATTGGTCTGAATATATTACTATAGATTCTTGAATTTTTGTTATCTTTCTGACCATGGAAATTCTGATTAGCTGTTTGTTTACATTTCTCATTTGTGCAAGTGGTCTGTAGTTACTCGTGTTACTTAGCTCTCTGTCTGTCTGGATTCAACATAGAACTTGGCACCGAAGTGCAGCAGTTCGAGTTGCCACCTTCCAAATAGCACACAGAGGTAGACAAGAAGATGAGTGAAGAGAATCAATACAGTCTGACAAGTATAAGAGTGAAACAGAATGGGCAATGGTAAAAAGGAATATGAAAGATTACAGAGACTGAATACATCTGCGCCATTGACAACGATCACTTTGAGCCATGTCACCTATTGTCTCCAGCCATTGATTCCTAGAGTCCCGAGGGCCCCAACCCGGGAGTCTGCAACTCCCTACCCGACTCAGTTTAACTGTCAAGGATTTCATGGATTGATGCCATGTTTTTGTTTGGCCACCACTGGCTCTTTTCCAACCGGAACCTATATCAGCTAGCAATGCCCGTCGGGGGAGGCGGTGGTGAGGCATGCGCAGCACGTGACCTAGCCACCTTAGTCTATGTAACTTTATAGCCTCGTCGATTGATTTTCCCTGTTTGTCCAACACTCTACGCCTAACGTCAACATTACTTACCTTATTGTACCACCTAACGTGAGATCGTAGACATCTATGATCAAAAACAGCCAACATTTTCATGTCTCCAACTCGTATTGACGGAGCGAACTGCTGAGCAGTACACACGTCCCTTGGATGATAGCCGTGTGGAGCCAGGTATATCGGCTGTACTCAGCGTTCGCTATCCAAACGCGTCAACGAACATTTACCTTCACGGTTTTATAAAGGAGAAAACCGATGCCCCCGCAGCTCGATCCTTGAGCATTTGATCGACTCTGGACACCAAGTCAAACCAGAAATAAACTTCAAAGTTATCTACAGAATACAAGGCAATCTTGCTAAAAGTGTACGGATCAAACTTCTCCTAACTTGACCCACGTCCAATTTCTAGTCATCTATGTCACGTCATCCGATTAACTTACTTATTTTCAACTGTATTATTCTCTAACACCACCCTTACTTAATTTTAACCACCACTCATTAACACTGTTGCCAACCTGACCTAATCTGAATTCTACTCAACTGTATTGCGTCATCCAAGTCACTTAATCAATTCTATTTTATTTTCTATCTTAACGTTTGTCTCCAAGCCAAATAATACTCACATTACATAATTATCTAAACTTTATAAATCTAATGTACACACACACAAACAAAATTGTATATATATGCGATTGATAGCCGGATGTCACGCCTACGCCAGAGATGGTGTAAGTCAGCGAAAGCAGCTCGAGTTTTTCGAATCCGTGCTGAGATTTCATCGCCAATCAGTCCGTTGGTGCTAATACAACTTCCCAAATAGGTGAAGTGGTCAACATGTTCTATCACTTCACTCCCTGTCACTAAGTTAGGGGTTGACGTGGTCCAGTCCTGTAGCAGCATCTTACATTTTGTAGGGGCGAATCGCATGCCAAACATACGGAGATTGCTGCTCAAAGTGTTCAGAAGACTCTGCATTTTGTCAGCATCCTCCCCTAACAGGACTATGTCATCTGCATATTCTAAGTCCATAAGACTATTCCCTGGTAACAAGTCGATTCCTAAGTCATTACGTTCAGTTAAGGATACTTCCATTAGCATATCTATGATGAAGTTAAACAGAACTGGGGAAAGTGGACATCCCTGTCGGACACCACTGGTTGTTACCAATTCAGATGACAATTCCCCATAAGCCCTTACACGACTACGTGAGTTTGAATAGAGTGCCTTGATTAGTGCAATGTACTTTCTTGGCACTCCCTTCACAGTCAGACATTGCCATAGTACCTTTCGATCCACGGAGTCGAAGGCCGCCTTCAAGTCAAGAAATATGACAATTGTTGGACGCCGAAAAGTGTGTCTATGTTCTAGAATCTGTCGAAGAGTGAAGATATGATCTATGCACCCTCTACCTGGTCTAAAGCCTGCTTGATTTTCCCTTGTCTGTTCCTCCCGAGTTCTGCTTAGTCTATGCATGATTACTGAGCCTAGGATTTTAGAGACTATGTTCGTTAGGCTGATCCCCCTATGATTATCACACGAGGACTTGTTTCCCTTCTTGAATATCGGTATAATAAGTGACTTACCCCAGTCTGATGGCACTGTCTCTGATTCCCACACTTTGCCTAGTACCTCAGTTAATCTACAAACTAGTATGTCACCCCCATATTTAAACACCTCCCGAATAATTCCGTCGGGTCCCGCCGCTTTGCCTCGTTTCAAATTACTGATAGCTTTTGTGACCTCATTTACAGACGGCGGACCAGTGTCCATATCCCATTCGGGTGTGTTCTGGATGTCGGGGAGGTTCAGTGTGGCTGTAGGCAAGTTAAATTGTTCCTCAAAGTGTTCTTTCCAGCGTTCAAGGCGTCTATGCTGAGAGCTAATTAAGGAGCCATTTTTCTCAGAAATAGTCTCACTTATGATTTGCCTTCTCCCACCCGTTTCCCTGATGAGTCTCAAGAGTTGCCTAGTGTTGCCTATCGCCGATGCTTTTTCCATCTCTTTTGCCTTTGTCAGCCACCACTGTTCACGGTCCTTGCGGAGAATTTTAGTAAGTTCCCTTTTGTGCAGCTTTCGCTCCTCATTGAATTCGGAGCTCGCCGGAATTACTTAGCAGTATCCATCATGTTGCCTCTTGTTGGTAGTTCGGTGTTTTGTATGGTGTCAGATAGGAAATATTATAGATTGAATCTTCTGAATACGCTACTTTCATCTCAAGCTGTATAGTTCTCCATCAGTCTCCTGAAATACATTATTGCTGAAATTCTGTTCTACAGTTATTCATCTTATTTCATATGTTTTCCTGAATGCTCTAATAGACTTTAAATATTACGCTACTCTGCTAGCATATTTTGAGATTTACATGCCGTAGACACAAGTGTTCAATTAATTGTGGTTAACAAATAAACTTTTCACTGTTTATTTTATGGATAGTTTTTACATCCACATATGTGTATATGTTCTTTCCAGTAATATCGCATCCCTTCTATTATATTATATTTAGCAACTTGGCGAATACATTCAAGTAATGATTGATTATATTGGTACTCACAGTTCGGATTACAAATCGGAAGATTCTTCGAAAGATTGTGAGTCTAACTCAAAATCAAATGCAGCACAAAGGTTTAATTTATTTACTACATTCTATCAACCCGGTGCCTTGCTTTTAAATAATGAGGGGATTGTTTTATCTGGACTAATAGCAAGCTTAAAATCCGTCGACTTTTGCTTCATATTGAAAGACAATTTGTCCTACATGGACAGACCGGTATGTGTTTTCGATTTTCCTTCTAACTTTCATGGATATTTTCTGATTGATTACAAAATTAGCCGACAGCTGCTAAATTGGTTCCAGGTTCTACCTACTTCATTTGTTTAAACAGACTCTGCTGGTTTAAGGGATTATTTCTTGTGGTCCTGTTAAACAGCTATTTAGACAGTTTGAATAAATGTGTGGTGAGAGCAGCCTGTTAGCCAATTGGTTGACATTAATCTGCGTCAATCTCTAGGTCACTAATATGGGCCGTGAGAAAATATGAACAAGGCTGTTTCAACGACCAATCACAGCAAACTTAAACGTGGGCAAATATGATTCGCAGATAGATGGCTCCACTTTCCGAGGAACTCGAAAACAACTAATCAGAAGAATGCGTTTGTCTACTTGACTAGGCTATAATAATGTATGTGAAATATATATAAATACGTGTTGATTTTCGTAATAAAACGATCTGTCGCCTGGCCCTTGTCTTCTGTTGTTACCAATGTACTGCAATCGCTCCCAAGCTGATGTAGACAGTTTGGAAAAGGCTTACCTCAAAAACATGGTACGCACTGTCTCTAAGGCAGAGTTCTCTTGGTACAGACTTAAATGCATTTACAACACTATATCCAAATATGTTGCATACTATTGAATTCAAGCGGATACGCTTTGGGTTTAACGTCTAAGCAGTACATGCTGTTGTCCACGCCAAGTAAAAATTCAGGTTCCACTTGAGAGCCTGGCGCGCGATGTCATTCGATAGTTTCAGCATGTGCCTCATCCATCTCCATTTTCTCCTACATATTTGTTAAGTTATAGGTTCTCAGTTAGCTTTTTCTCATGGTTTCTTGTTGCTTATTCTTTCTAGCCATCTGATCTTTAGAATGAAGCCGGCGAAGACAGCTGTTGATAAGTGTGAAGCCTATTCGATATGTTTCTGGTGTCGCTTCAAGTTCCCAACACAAATAAAAGAACTGACTTGACATTGGTGTTGAAAATCCGAATTTTGTTATTTATACCGAGTGTGGATTCCCACACTGATTTCAAAGTGATTAAGGTCTGTCTTGCCTTTCATATCCTACTTCTGACATCTTCATCTGTGTAGCCACCTCTAGTTGGAACGATGCTGCCCAGATAAGTAAAGGAAGTAACCTCTGTTAAATTTCTCCCGTTGATGGTGATTGGTGTTAGTTGTTGTTGTCAGTTGGCTATCTCCATCACCTCCGTCTTCTCTATTTTCCCCTGGAGTCCTGTCTTCTCTGCCAGCCCCTAGCCAGTTTATTGGCTTTCGCCTGTAAGTCTTCGAGTTTGTGTGCCATTAGACATATATAATCCGAGCGTGAAATCCAGGTCTTCTAGAGTCGTAGTGATGAAACAGTAGTTTCCAAATTACTTCTCAGCCAACGCTGTGCTGTGAAGCTCTTTTCGAAGTCGATGAAGTTGAGGTAGAGAGAGGTTTGACTGCCATTCTATGCTTTGTTCGATGATGATGATGATGATAATGCGTAAAGTTGCAATTTGATCAGCACATGATTTGCCTTTCGTGAATCCTGCCAGCTTGTTCCAGTGGAGTTGGCGGAGTTCTGTATCCAGTGCATCTTTTATTCTCTCCAGGATGATGTGACTTAGTATTTAACTTGGCATGACCAAGAGCATGATTCCATGCCAGTCCTAGCAGAGGCTTAAGTCGCTTTTGTTTGACAGCTTGACAAGGTAGCCTTTCTGCTAACCGGTAGGCACTATTCCCTCCTTCAAGACCTTTTCCAACAATGGTGTGAGCACAAACGCCGCAGTCTCTGGGTCCATTTTCAGTGCTTCAGGGGTAATTCTTTCTGATCCTCCTGCGTTCCTGGATGGCCTTCAGTAGCTTGATTGCATTCAGGATTTCTGTTTTCGTTGGAGGATTGGTGTCCACTGGCAGGCGGCAGTTGTGTGCGTGTTGTTATTGGTGGTGGGATTTCCGGCCAAGATGTAGGCGACGATTGTCGATCCAAGAGTTCTTCGAAGTGATTATCCCTTTGCTTCAGTTATCTGTCCTCCTTGGTGATAAGGTTCCCTTGAATATCGTTTGTTGGTTTTATCATCTGGGTTGATCTCTTCCCGGATAGAGACGTGGTTATCTGATATAATGTCATTGCGTCTTTTTTACATGCGGCCTGCTTGTTCTGCTTCATTCGCCAGGAAGTGTGTCGTGGAATTGTCTTTTGTCCTTCCTAGCACTTTTCTTCACTTCTTTATTCAGTACAGTGCACATTGAACTCAGTTTCTCCTACTGTTGTCCATCTATGCATTGAGTTGTGTTCTCTTTCACCATCCTCCTTGCTTCTATTAGCTTTCGGGTAGTTGTCGGTTGAGAGGCATTCCTTTTCTTGTCTCTTCTTTCTTCCTAGAGCAGTTGTACACGTTTCCTTAAATATCACCTTCAGAGAGTTCCAATGTTCTTTCACACAGGTTTTCCGAGTGATGCTACGTTTTATCTTTAATTTTTCTCCGATGACTGCAGTATACGTGTCCTTTTTAGTTTTGTCCTTCAGTTTCTGGATGTTGGACTTCAATTGTTGTCTATCTCTAGTTTCTTTGAAGGCGTTGATTCTGACTTTGAAAATCCCCTGCACTTCACTGGATAATGGTGTGAGCCGAAATCTTCCCTTCTCGAATTAATGTCCAGCAGGCTGCGTCTCCACTTCTGTGAGCAACGTTGAGATGAAATCTCTATGGTGTTTGGTGTGTCCGTCAGTCGAAATCTATGTTGCTTTGTGTGTATCCTGGTGCTTGTACACGCTTCCTCCGATTACAAAATCATTAAAAGCCCATAAGTCTGTGAAGCTTACTCCGCTCTCATTTCTCTGATAGCCTCTTGGCCCATGGTGAGTTGTCTTCCGACCCTCCCTCTTTTTCCTGGCTTAAAAATTGTTAGAAAACATTTGGGCTGGTTAACTGGGCTAGGTTATTCGTGATCGACTGATGAGGCTTATTGCAACACTAACGTATGCGTCATATTTTTCGTTTGTATCTTGAGCCATTGTGCTTGTGAAGATGTACTGACACAGCTACGTTAGAACTATTTATGTACAATAAAAGCGTTATTTCAGGATTTCATCACTTGAGAAGCGTTATTTGCTGTCTTCTCGATGTCATTGACGAATGTAAGTGCTCAAGTTTAGCCAGTAAAGCTGATTTTTTCGGACATCTGAATACAGCTAACTGGATTGACGGATAAAACATGTTGCTGTCATTCGAACGTATAAGATTACAAGTGAACTAAAACTTTGAACACATGGATCCTAATATATTTAAATAATACCATCGATGTGTGTTATACTGTTAACCACCGATTGACTGGTGAGAACCTCAATGTGTTGTCATATCTTTTTTATTCACACTCATTCTATAGCACTGTAAACATACTGAAAGCATACTGACTGCTCGAAATTAAATCCAAATTTGTAACTGGCGATTTCATATCCATTGGACCTACAGTCGCTGATACAAAATAGTAGTAAGATTCTGGTTGTAACATTTTACATGGAGGCATATATTTGATTATGTGAACAGAGCAAAGCGTTTTAACTTTAGGTGTATATTATTTGTGTCTATACCTGATTCATCTCATCTAAAGTTTCACTAAATTCAGTGAAATGTGTAACTTCACTTTTGTAAAGCTTTCGTAATCTTAGATTCTGCCAAACGAAATATTTACACAAGTTAATTATCAACATGAGATGTAATTTTTGCTTACGATGTGTATAAACACAATGGTAATGTGCCACTGAAAATACCTTTTTACTTTTAAATTTTAGTTGCAACCCATACCATATCATGTATACTTACAATATAATTTGGATAAACTTGAAAAACTGTATTCAAAAGTGAAGTAAGCGCTTTGTGTTTCAGTTTACTACTCTTTTACACACACTCTATTACACACTTTGATTAAAGTTGCTGAGTAATTCAGTCAAACCATTCACTGATCACTGAGCTTGAAACAATAGTGGATTAATACTAAGTGTAACGTTTTCAGTGCGATAACAAATGCCAAGACAAAATATCTGTAGTGAGTATGCCCATGCATGGGTCAGTGTTATAACACTTGTCAACGATGCACACTGTCCGAAGTTCGATTCTCAAGATGGGTAAAGATGGCGGGGGGGGGGTCGAGTATGAGGCTAGCAATCCCATCGCTTGAAAAGAAACACCATTCACTGCTACCAAAACTTCAAAGCTCTAGTTTAAAGCCCTTGGTTCCTTTCGGAACGCAAAAGGATAAAAAGTGAGTGAATGTCGTCGGATAAATCAATAACATCTTTGTCAAAAAATGGCCATTGTGTGCTCAGAACATTTTGAAACATTTTATTGTTGAAACACCTCAGTAAAATTAATTCGAATGCATGGATTGTTTTGAAACACACGCTTACACTTGTAGTCTCACTTTGGCATTTCTTTCAAAGTTATTTGGTCTGAACGATTGTTGTTCTCTTTGTTGAGCATTTAGCATTCAAGATAACACTTTTATATTATGGCTGGAGTAGTTCTTGTTCTTGCTACTATTTCGTTGGTTGGGAGTAAGTTGACTAGGAGAAACGAGATTAGTTGAAAGACTGGCGTGTCTACTATATTTCTTCATTATGTCACCAGCTGGAATGTTAGTCAAAAAACTATAGTTGAAGCTTCTTAATTTTTTAATTTAGCATGTGCCTCGGTGGTATAGCGGTTAGGACGCTCGCCGACCATGCACATGGTCCGGGGTTCGATCTCCGGCCGACGCACTCCTTTACCTCGCTAAACCAGAAATAATGCTGGTAAAGAGGAAAGGTTGGAAATGAGGCTAGCAACCGCATCCTGTAAAAATGAACACTGCTACAGAAACTTCTAGCCACTAGCTTGAAGCCCTATGTTCCACTGGGGAACGTGAAGGAAAAAAAATGTGTCTGCTTCACTCACTTTTTCAGAATACTTATGTCCGTAATATTAAACTACATGTTTTGGAATAAGTCTTTGTAAACACACTATGATCTTTTCAGTTCTTAATATAAATGACCTGTGCTAGCCGTGAACTTTATTCAACAAACGTATCTCAGCCAAATCTCCAATTGCTTGAGATATTTGTATATAAAGTTGGTCAACATGTAGTGATTGATTTATATTCACACTTGTTAGTTTTATCTAATTCACATTCATATTGAATTAGTTGGTGTTATTGTTGCTAAAACCAAGTTACAGGTCTGAATACTGAAGTCAACCGGGATCTAATTCCAACTTCACTTCTACTTGCCTGGTGTTCCGCCTATTTATCCGATAAACATCATCGTATTAATTCTAGATACTTATCTGCTTGACAAAATAGCTGTGTTAAGAAACCATTGTTTAATTTTTGTGTCAATACTATTTTATTTAAACGCAGAAAAAAAACGGTACAATAAGGCACCAAGAAAGATGCGCCACACAATAATAATAAAACAACATAGAATAAAAGTAAAAATATTAGTAGAAAACGGATATAGAACTTCATCTGGAACGAAAACAGTCATGCTTAACAAGTTCAAACAGTATTCGTCAACTATCATCGGGAAGGGAAGAAAGAAGGAAATTGCAACATGTTCGCCGTTGATTACCGTTCTTGGCCATATCCAATAACGTTTCGAGCCATCGATTTGAGCTATCTCGCGGACCCCAACCAGGGAGTCGTGACACACCAACCGATGCTAATCTAGCACAAAAATCCTTCATCCCACGACGCCACGTCATGGACTGACCACCCCTCCGCCTTTTCAATCCCGTCCCAGGTCCAACGGACAGAGGTCTGTACGGAAGCCTCTGGGCTAACATTCGCACCACATGTCCGAGCCACCGGAGTCGGTGTTTTCAGATGACGACACTCAATGAATGGTGATCTAGAGAAGACGGAGGTGATGGAGATAACCAACTAACAACAACAACTAACACCAATCACCATCAACGGGAGAAATTTAACAGAGGTTACTTCCTTTACTTATCTGGGCAGCATCGTTCCAACTAGAGGTGGCTACACAGATGAAGATGTCAGAAGTAGGATATGAAAGGCAAGACAGACCTTAATCACTTTGAAATCAGTGTGGGAATCCACACTCGGTATAAATAACAAAATTCGGATTTTCAACACCAATGTCAAGTCAGTTCTTTTATTTGTGTTGGGAACTTGAAGCGACACCAGAAACATATCGAATAGGCTTCACACTTATCAACAGCTGTCTTCGCCGGCTCCATTCTGAAGATCAGATGGCTAGAAAGAACTAGGAACAAGAAACTTTGGCTGGAAACAAACCAACCAAGAGCGGATCACTCAATAAATACGTGAGATCTTTGGCTGGAAACAATTGGTGACATGGCTCAAAATCGTTCTCAGTGGCGCAGATGCATCCACTCCTTGTGACCTATGATCTCCAATGAAACTGTTTTGTTCTTCGTTATTACTCCTTTGTCTCACACCTCTGTTTATTGTCTTTATTATGCGCCTCCGAACCTCAGAATTAATCACGCGATGATGTCATCGAACGCAAGCAATCCTGCGGAGACAGCGATGATCAAACACGCAGAGTCGCCGCACATCCTCACCTCGGAGAGGCCAGGTTTCACAGGCGTAGAGCAAGACAGCCCGCACCGAATCACTGTATACCCAACCTTTGACAGCCAGGCTAATGTCACGATGGTGCCATAGGTGACTAAAGTTGATGTATGCCACCCTAGCCTTCATTATACGGTTGAAAATATCATCCGTCACCCCTCCGCCATCACTCACACTACTACTCAATTACACAAATTTATCAACAACTTCAAGCGGTTCACCCACAAAAGTGAGTGCAGGTAGAGGCTCCTGCCAATCTTGTGACAGTACTTTGCACTTAGACGGTGCTAAGCACATACCATGCTTACACACACTGACACTATACAAATGATAGATGTAATACAAACTGTTATAGCAGTCTACTAATTAGAAGGTAGTAGTTATGGAGTACACAGTGAGTACATAGAATCAGAAGAAAACTGGCTTTGATTTTTAGGGGTCAGTTTACGTGTATGCTATATGAAATGGAATACAATTGATTCATCCTAACGGTTTTGATTAACCATTGCGAGCTTCTATACAAACATGCTTGTGAAGTTATATTCATGGGGATCTGAAAACTGGTTGCGATGAACTAATTTTGTCGTTTTATTTATGTTTTTATAACAAACTGTTGGACAGAGAATTAATAACTAATCCACGATATTCATTGGCATATACAAAGAAACCTTTTTCATTGAACACTAGTAACTAGTATGACGTGTCTGGTCCTTTCCTTGATGCAGACTGAATTCTATCAGTCAGGTTTGCAATGTGGCCAGCATTCTAGGTAGCTCATCATTACGGTACGCATTGATTTGATGATATTAGATAGTTGAAGGCAATCGGCAGAAAGCCTTGGACCTAGGTTTCGTGGTAGATGGCACTCGTCATCAAGGCGTATCTGCAACCTTGAATGAACTCATGTCTCTTCTGAGATCTGAACCCGCGTCACCCAGTGCTACAGTCAGAGATGTTTCCACTGAGCCATTTGGACTCGTGATTGACCTTGATTTAGTGACTGATTAAACGTGGACAAACGGACATGCAGATTAGTTTCCACAGTGTTTCCTGTTAGCTAAGGTGCGTCTGACAGTACTGCCCATTGTTTGAGGTGTAAAACTTTTAACTCCGTGTGTGCTACTTACAAATGCATATAAGTAATACAGTGAGAGACGTTTTCGGACAAACAGTGATAACTTGTGTGTTGATTGATAAGTTAGTTGAAGCAGAGACGCGTGTAGGAAACAGAGAAAGGAGATATTATTATCTGAAAATTGTACTACCTATGTAAGCCGTATGATGTTCTCAGTAAGCATTACTTCCGGCCTCTTGAGTTTTCTTCATCTCTGGATCATAAGTCCTCACTCATTGTATGGTTGCGGTGTGAAATTAATATTTTGAAGTAGACAAAACAGCTTTGTTTGTGTATGAAATTTCCTATACTTCTTGGGATAAACTGGTTGTTGGTTTCTCTTAAGTAACTGCGAACACCGATAAGTGTCTCTTTACATTAATCTGCTTGGTGCTTCACAAATGATATTTGTTTGAACTAAACATTGAGAAAATACTTTTTGATAGTTTTAAATTTTTAACTCAGAAATACTGCACAAGACAAAAGTACAATCACTCAGGTTTGAGAATGAGCGTAGAACGGTTCTCTGCAAAGTCTAACCAAGTGTACTGTATTTGTACTGAAAGCCATCGAGTCGTTAGAAGTAAGCATAGATCTCAGTGGTAATTTTCTACTGGATTTATCTCCGTAGCTCAGAAGCAATTTGTGTGTAATCATAAAGTCATTTTGCTCATTCAAGTAAGACATATCGAAGTATGTTTTTCGTTTCAGTTTATTTTCTCAAGTGGATTTGTCAGTGTCAATTGAACAAAAGAATTTTCTGGAAGACTTATGCAACAAATTGAAGTAAGTTCCTGTCAATTCACGAATGTATGACTAAAATTTATATATATATATATATATATATATATATATATATATATATATATATATATATATATATATAAGCTTAGAATCCCCCCACGAAAGTGTATTCGTTAAATTTGTCGCATTTCAAAACGGTACAATGATCACATTGAAACACTTGAAAACCCCGAACGAACAAGTCATAAATAATTAGATATTCCATTCAAATGCACACTGTGTTAATTTGTAAATTATTCTTCAGCTGTCGTTCCTTATTATCTTGGAAATCGTTCCCAAAAAGTGACTTAATTCCGAAGTTCAAGCTGATGTTTGACTAGTTTATGTATCGGTGTTGTGCATCGTTCTAGCTACAACCAACGTCTTTACATTGAACTCTGAAAGCAAATCATAGGTAATCAGCAAGAGAACCAACAGAAGTAAGCGAAACTGTGGAAGTTTTGTTTTTTAGTGAAGAGAAGATTCTCATGCATGAAAAAGGCTACGACTAAGGTATATTTGCTTGAGATTGGTTATCTGATATATTTTCAAATGACTAGAAATTGACACATACATTATAACAACTGTAGCTTAACAGGGTATCCAGGACACTCATGGTGTCCACTCACCAGGCGTTGCCTAGGATAATGTTCCTCTTTCAAGTTCGAGCAGTTGGAGAGTGTCACTTTGAGTATTTTTGGCACTAAGTATTCAATTTTCTACCATGTTTTCGGAGACTAGCTTTGCTTTGTTGTTCAATGTTCAATTGCCCACATTTTCGCACTATTGTTTGGTTGGGTATTTTGCCTAGATAAAAAGGTGAATATAGAAATCTCTACACAAACTCATTAATTCTGTTTGCTACAGTCTTCAATAGTTCACGAAAAAGGACACAAATGTTAGATAATACAGTCAACTAAACTGTCTCGTCCTCAGAATAATCTAACCTAAGGCAATCTAATTGCCAGTATGTTCTAACTTTCCATCCAAGTATGTGAATAGTAATGGAATGGCGTCGTAGCCTGAAGGTTCCCGGTTGAATCTTTAGTCATCGGTTCACAACAGTAAGGAGTCTAAAAGTAGGCGGAAACAACCATCCAGTGCTCAGCACGTCGTATCGCTTGATGACGAAATCCACTTTGACAAGAAGCGAATTCTCATGAGCCAAATATTTAATGTATTGGTGGCGTGTTATTTCTTTGTGATCAACACAATCTCGTTACTAATCCACTCTTACTCCAGCTGTAACTGTCTGTAGAGGAGGTCACTGTCTCAGCGTGTGCACCGGTTACTGTAGTTGGTGAAGACTGCCAATTGTAGTGTGTGCGTGGTTTAAGAATGTCATCGATCATCTGTGTATTTATTTTATGCAAGTATATATCTGTTATAAACAGTGCCTTTGTTTGTTACCATCGAAGTTCACTGGCGGTCCATGTCGTATTAATTTTACCCAATTTTCTATTCATTGTACTGGAACATTATGCTACCAATCTTCCACTAAAAATGATGTCATCAGCTGTGTTGTTTATTGTTTTATAGTTTATGAACTACGCATGTAATAAACGCAATAATCTCCATTGGTCGGTCATATTAAAAGGATGTTTTTCGCATACAAACTAACTTCGTGTAAACTTTTTCCGTACTATTCTATCTCTGTATAGGTACTCAAGGTGAATTAGTGCATTCCTTGACATACGTTTTAAATGGAAAGAAAATAGTGAAAAGTAGTAATTAAATTTATTTTGCCATGAATCGAACGCGTGGAAAAAATTTGTAGCTCAGGTGGATGGTTTTCATGCGACAGAAGACCAGTAGTTCAGCGAAGAGTTTCTTTTCGGCGAATTTATTTTCATAGCTGTACAATCGCAAATATATGTTGTTGTTTTGTATGTGTGTGTACATTAAATTTGTCAAGCGAAAATACAATTCGTAAGTTCGGATGAATTAGATGTTGTTATAAGAGGATAGTAACAAAAGTGATGAGTTGTCACGAATGATTGTTTAAGAAGAGTTACGTAATAACGTGAATAGTTTGATGAAAGAGTTGTGCTCAGGGTGTACATGGAAACAAAATAACATACGGAATTACTCAAGGGTTTCAAGTAGTTAGAAAAATAAGCATACAAGCAAAATTTAAATCAAATCAAGCAAACAAAGAAAAGTTGAATCAGATCAACGCAGTTGTTACCATAAGAGTAGAAGTGGTTGAATAATTTTCTTTTTTATGCATGGTTCTGTTTCTTCCAACTGAATGGCTAGGGCTTCTGCGATGCAAAGAAGATGGAAAAATATTGTCTTTAGAAGGTTGCTCTTCACTTTGTAGATTACTTTGAAGGAGAGGCGTTCGTTGAGATGGAATGACCAGTGTTGATGTTCGATTACTGCACTCCTTATATGGCCACTACTTCCTTTCTGCAGCCACACTGGATAGTGTTCTTTGACTCCTTTTGACTGGATGCGCGTTGAATAAACGATGTACCTGGCTCCACAGCACTAGGTGAACTGATATATACACATAGAAGTGGTCAGGTGTGGGATCTTGTCCTTTGAGCTTTTGCAGATCATGTGGTTGCGTTCTCTGACTTGGGTGCTTTAAATGCGAAGCTTTCATTGTCCTCATAGATAACATCTTGAACTGTTGCACATCGGTGCAAAATTCTATGTCGAAAACAGACGAACAACATCTTAAGCGGAAACTTAAGTATAAAGTGAACTTATATGACTTTCTCAGTTTCAGTTGCTTTTGTGTTCTGTTGTATTACTGCTATTGTAGCTGAATAGTTGGCTTGTTTGGGTTGATTTTCTGCATACCTGTGTTTCTAGAGCAGAATTATTGAAAATCAGTGGATATTAAATAGTTGTTTTCTCTCTTTAGCAGCGTGCATACTCATAGTTCTTTGCGTGGGGTAGTTGTAGTACATTTTGTGCCATTCGACAGGATGCATCCAGGCTTTCACTTCTACGTAACTGTAACGTATTGAGTCGAATCGTTTTTGGCATTTTTTTTTTCATAAGGAAACGTATTGATCGAGAAAATGCAACTAATCGGAAACTCAACATGGAACTTACAGATCTCTCTAAGCAGATGGAAAGCATGAAACTTGAAAATCAAAGTTTATCTATTGCTGTAGCACAGTTAAAAAAAGATAAAATTGGTTTAACTACTATACAATCAGAAAATGTGGTAAGTATAGATTTGTGTTTGCTTATGAATAAATAGGCTGCCTAAACAGAAGTAGTATATTTATACAATCTTCCGTCCAAAACATCCTTAAATTAAGATGTAGGTGCATAGTACATACTATTCGGAAATGTAATCAGCTATTTATGGTTTTAGTTAGTAGTCATCCAGTTACTCTCAGTCTCATGAGAAAATACCTGTTACAGAGAAGTGGGAACTGCAGATGCTTCGTTACTCCTTGGAAACCATCGCTGCGGAGAATGAAATCCATATATGTTGTGAAAAGGTCATAAAATATCATAAAAACACTATTCACAATACATTAACTTTTGCATTATAGTTGAAGTTGCTGTCAAATTCACCTAATTGGCAAGTGTGGCATCAGCCCTTGAGAACTGACTGCTGATAAAATCTCAGCGTTAATACCAAGTTGGGTCAAATTTGGTCAAGTCTGATATCTGGCTATCCATATCCACCCTGTCCTAATTTAAGGCGGAGATATGGCCGTTGAAGATGTAAGACATGAAAGTTAAGCAGTATTTACCCATGCTTGGCTGCATTTACAGTCTTGTTTTAGGTGTTACTGTGTAACTAGTAACAATGCTGTTAAGAGTAAAGTATTGTGTAACCATAGTGGTCGATCGATAATGTTGTGAAGCTCTATAGACTCAGACATCGAGGACATGTTCAAAGCAAAACCACCGCCATCCTTGATGGGCAGTTAATTGATGTAGGAATAAGTTGGAAAAGAGTCAAAGGTAGTCAGACAAAAGCATTGCACATATCCATAGAGTTTATAGCCTCTTCTAGGTAAGTCTTATTCACTGTCTTCACTATCCTACAAAGTTGGATATCTGGCTGTTAGCATCGGGATAATGAACATAGGAAGTCCACTTAAAAGATCTAGCAAACTCCGGATCCGAACAAATGGGTGTATAGAGACTTCAAAATCTGAGAAGAACGAATGATACTTGTATCTGCTTCTGGTCACCCACAACCATAAAGAATACAACTCGTGATGTTGCTTCTATACCTTGTGAACTTAAATTCAAAGGTCTGGGAATGTCCGCTTGTGATAACCATCTTCGGTATGGGTGTCGTCGTATTATTCCAGCCATCGCGCAAAATGTTAACCGACAATGTATTGAGAACCACTGTTCATTCCTCATTTCCTACAATCTACTACTTTACGAACCTCACTGTTATCACTATCTTAGTGTTATTATTGTTCCCGTGTATCAACTGCTTGCTTTTATTCCTACTTCTCCAACTGTTTTTTTGTCTTCATTTTCATCAGCTTCTCATAATAGTTCGGAATCTTAGTCTATCTCCTCCCTTTTGAGTCGTAAAGTGAATGCTTCTGGAGACTTACCCCCACTCTCGGTATAATTTTCTGACAACACGTCCTGCTTTAGCCTGTAATCGACAGTGTTAGCATACTGATGTGAACTGAAAAGCATGTAGGTTTAAGTAGAGTCCTGGGAAGCCTCTTAGAGACACATACCAAACCCTGTTCCAGTGCTTCGACTAATTTATTAATTTGTCCGCTTTAAAAGTATGTCTCTTGTATGATCTAAATACCATAAAGTTTCGGCACTCTGATAAACCACTGGTACTGTCGCGTTAAGGACAAGAGTTGCGGCTGCATTACTCAATTGTCGTTTATGTTCTACTAAACCAGAGTAAAAGGTAACCTATCACTGAGTCGTCTTTTCGTCATCTCTGCTTGCTCATTTATTGATTACAGTCCGGATACATTTAAGGACGAGTTCTACTATCAGGTGTGTAACCTCACCCAAGTGCTATGTGCGTATTGTTGTGCTGCTAGGTGAGAACGTGAATGCATAACTCGAACATCTTAGCTAAAGATACGTTGTTCAGATGATCAATAGGGAACAGCTGATCTGTGACCAAATAATGGTGTCTGCCTTCTACAAATCTGTGCAAGTTCCAAACTATCTCGCGCCAGCACTAACTGCTAGTACAACTATTACCATTGTCCTACCTTGGGTTTTTCATTTTCCACTCGAAACTAGACTCAAGTAGATAACATTATTATTAATAACTGGTGATTCAGTGGGTACAGGGTTACTGCTCATATTCTTCTTTTGAGTATCGCAAATTCGCCCGTTATTTTGCCGAACACTATAAACGTTATCCCGAAAATAAACTGATGTAGGCAAATAATTTACACTTACTTGTGCAGCAGAATACCAAACCAAGTTGGATGCAAGACTAGTTGTTGATTTGCCAAAAACAAAGGCACTTACAAGACAATACAAGGGTAGCGAGTTAAAGTAATTGAGGCTTGAAAGATTTCCACATTAGCAAGCGTTGTGTTTCTGAAACTTTCTTGCAACTTTATTGGGGGGATTTGCATACTATGAGACAATGTGTGTGTGGCGTCTGCTGATATTATTTGGAAGCAACACTCGGAAGTTGTTTCAATTCATCTGAGTTACTGGCATTGGGTAGCCTGGTGTCACTGAGACTGTTTGTGAGGCAGATTGTAACTTGTAAATTTACATGTATTACTGCATAATATTTTAAAAAGGCATGGTTAACCTGCATTGTTTGTACCCGCAATGATCGTAAACAGTGGTTGGCGAGAAAAGGCAAAGATGGAAAAGGAGTCGGTGGCAGATAAAAGCAGACTGTTCAAATTTACCAGGGAAAAAGGTTGTAAAAAAAAGAAAACGATGAACCAGACTATCTCCGAGAAAAGTGGCACCTTAATTACTGCTCGGGAGAGAAGGCTGAAATGTTCGTTGGGCATTTTAAGGAACAGTTTAACCAGCCTACGACCACTCTCAACTTGCCCAACATCCAACCCTTATATGAATGGGATGTGAATATCAGTCTTCTAACTATAACTGAAGTTCCAAGAGCTATCTCTAATCTGAGACGATGTGAAGCAGCGGGACCTGATGGAATGACTCCAGAGGTGTTCAAGTATAGTGGTGCTAAACTATTGTTTAGGTTATTCAAAGTATAAGATCGTGTGTAGGTCTCTAGCATAGTCCTGTGGGACTAGTACAAGTCATTGATTGATTTGTAAGAAAGAATATAAATATTCTTGTGATAATCAAGGGGGCATTAGCTTAACTAACATTGCATCCTAAGTTCTGAACTGAGCCCTGGGCCTAGGTTTCGTGCTTGCTGGCACCTATCAGCAAGGCTTATCTGCAACCTTGAATGAACTCATGTCCCTTCCGAGATTCGAACCCCTGTCACCCATTGGTGCAGCCAGAAATGCTACAACTGAGCTATTGGGGCTCGTGGTTGACTTCCTGTAGAACTGTACTTTGATTGGGCAGTGAGGAGTAACCAACGTCATTCAAACTGAATTCCGTCAGTTAGGTTTGTAGGTATGCCCCCGCCGACGCACTCCTTTACTTCGCTAAGCCAGTCATATGACTCGTAAAGAGGGAAGGTTGGGCATGAGGCTAGCAACTCCATCCCGTAAAAATAAAACTTTACTGCCCTATGTTCCACTGGGAACGTAAAGGGATAGAAAAAAGTATGCTTTGCCGACAAACTCCAAGAAGCTGGAAACCTAGGTTCTGGCCTTCCTGCCGACTTCCTCCAACCATCTAATAACAGCATTCATAGTGCACTGTAATGCCGAGTCAGTCAGCTTGCTGACCACAGTTCAAATCTGACTGTTTGAATTCAGTCTCCCCCTGAACCAAGGACTGAAAGCATGACCAATCAAAGTAAAATTCTAGATTTCATAATTCTGTTTGGATTCAGCGGTGCTTGCAAGAAACAAAAACTGTGAAAATCAGATGGGATTTGGACATAAGGAAGGGTGTACTAATCACGTCTTCATGCTTTGACAGATTCTCAAACAACCATACTTAGCGCCACTCAACGCTTGGCATATTTCTTGACCTGAAGGCAGCATTCGACTCAATCGACCGAGAGGTGTTGTGGCAATCTTTGGCCATGAAGGTAGTGCCAAGAAAGGATATCTCACTAGTCAAGGCATTCTTCTCAAACCCACTCAGTGGTATAATAGGTTATAGAAAGTTGTCAACAGACGTGATGACAAACAGTATAGTGTCTTTCATTGATACCCACTGTCCTTGTTTTTGTTTCATTTCATCATAGATGTACTAATGGAATTTAACGACTGGCTTTAGCGTCTCAACTGCTTAATTGTTACCAGGGAACAGACATTTCGATATAAAGTGTGCGGATGATGTTGTCCTTGTATGGGAATAAATTTGAGGTTAGGCGTGAAGTGTTAGGTGAGGATATAAGTAAACTGAAATGTTTGTAAAGCTACATTAATTAAGATAACCGGCATGCGTGTCACGCGTGCCTGACTCTGATCTTCGAGACGCTAACGGCCACTGGCTTGATGGTGTGTTGTTGGTGATATGGACCAAAGATCCTCTGGATGACCCGGACGCATTCACTCTTTATAGTCTTCCAGACTGACTAAGTCCTCATGTTCCTCGGTGTGATTACTGTTTTTGTGGTACATTTCTATTCGTTATGGTTCTTTTTTGAATTTATTTCCCTACCTTTGTGTCTATCTCATGGAATGTATTAATTTGAACTGCTGCATTTTTTTACGGTGTTATACGGTGACGGAGGATCTGGACTTCGCCGATGATATATGTCTGATTTCCCACGAACCGGCAGATATGTAAGTGAAAAGCAACAAGTTGGCAGAAGAAGCATCCAGAGAAGGTAGGCCTTCAGGTGAACATAGAGAAAACAGAGGTGATGAAGATTCCTGGCCAGCAGCAACAACAACAGTCAGCATAAATTGAAGAAATCTGGAAGAAACAGCCTTCTTTACACACCTACCTGTGAAGTATCGTTTCAACTACAGGTGGAACTGACGAGGATATTAAAGCAAGGGTCGGGAAACCAAGACAAGCTTCTATTATTCACAAGTCTTTGTGGAGGTCAGCAGCACTAAGCATGAAAAATAAGGTCCGGATTTTCAACTCCAATGTGAAATCAGTGCTACTATATGGATCAGAGACTTGCACTGCGCGTCATAAAGAGCATCTCAAACAAACTACAGACCTTCATTAACAGTTGTCTTTGCTCAATACAACTCAAGATCAGATGGCTGGCCAAGAAAGATCAGCAACAGGGATCTCTGGCAATGAGCGAACCAACCAGGAATCGATTGTGAAACAAATAGGCAGGAAGAAATGGAGATGGATTGGCTAGTCATACTCTGAGGAAACCATCAAGTGACATCACTAGACAACCCCTCGAATGGAACCTGGAAGGAAAGCGGCAAGTTGGTTGTCTCAGGGTGACTTGGAAGAGGTCATGTGAAGAGGAGATGAAAACTCTAGCAGAGAACCGAACACATTGGAGACTCGCGGCTGAAGCCCTATGTTCCTTTAGGAATTAAAGGAAATAATTATAATAATAATGTACGGTGAAAACTCAGCTCAATTAAAAAACTTGTGTGCTGTTCTCTCCATCATCAATATGCCTTTTAAGTTAATTATCCTCAGAGCAATTTGATTGTTCCAAGTGGTTTGTTTTTTCATTGAATTACTCTGCTAACATTTATTTGTCCTTCAGATAGCTAGTTAGAGAGAAACAGTTGAGTTAACCAGAAAGTATGTGGTCTGACTTTTCTCTATTTTCTAATTTGATTCTCGTACATAAAGCATCAATCTCGAGTAGTAACAAGTACCTTTTCATACTTTCTGTGGCTTGTTTTCTTTTCAGGAAGTAATTAATCGAGTGAGTCAATTAGAATCAGAGTTGAAGCATTGTCAAAAGACAAATGAAGAAAATTCTGAGCTTATTGAATCTCTCCGAAATCATTTGGATGAATCGAATAAGCGTTGTAAACAGTTAACTCGATATCTATCTGCAAGTTATCTACCTCGTTCTATTTTCATGTTGTATTCATGTGTTAGTTTATGCAGATTATAATTTTTTCTAAAGGGACTCATCGTTTCCAGTATAGGTCGATAAGTGCGCCTGTGTCTAATATAGCTCATCATAAAGAAACACCTTCAAATTGTTCATCTGGCATGAATGTTTTTTTTCATATTATACATCATATTGTATGCCTAAAAGGAATTAAGATTAATATCCCTGTTATATTATGATTTGCGTAGCGATGAAGTCAAGATGTATTCGCAGCGCCAGTATGTTTTAAGCCTTAGAACTTGAACTCTTCCTCTTAAACGACCATTTAAACGCTTTTAAAAAATTTTCTACACTGCTCAGATGAACAGTCTAAGACTTCCTCGAGTGTGAACTCCTCAAGGTATTTTCCAAACTAAGCGTACTATGGTCGTTAACTTCCTCTTGAATAGACTATTTGCTGTTACCTTTATCATGTACAAGTGCTGTTGTATGACGCCTTTTGCTGTTTCTGATTTTACTTTGCGAGTTTTTTTTTCAAAAGACCTATGTTGGAGATGCGTGACTCAAGCTTATTAGTTGTTCGAGAATTTAACCAGTCATCGATCTACATTGACCTCTCGCAATAGCCATGTATATAATATTCAAAGATGCTTTCAGAAAGTGCAGCCTATCTCGATATTTGTAAACTATCGTTTAATACTGCCTGTTTTCTTTGCAATTCCATCTCTGTCTGTATATCCTTGTCCATGAATCTTAGTGGTTTTCATGTCACTAATTCAGCTAAAGTTGAGCAAAACTGGTAACTTTATCTGAACCATATTTGATGTGTTACTTGTATAGGAGGAGCTTCTTACAAAGATGAATGGTAGCAATATAGTTTACTGTTCATTGTTGGGTTGAGAACTGTGTAAAACATGTCCGTCTTTTAATATGTGCAAAGTTTGGTACTGTTGAGACTCCCTTTGTTCAAATCTGACATATTATGTTCGTTCGTTATTAGAAGGATAGCTTCAAGATACTAAACTAGAATGGTTCGTGGTGGCTACAGAATCGATGAAATGCTGATGAATGTAAGGGTTATTAACAAAGACAATTCAATAAAGTGTAGGAAAGCTGATTAAAACTGAGAATTTTCTCAACGAATATTTGAATTCTTCCGGGAGTTTATGGATATCTACTACTGCCTATCGGCAGAAATATTCCTCTATGTTGAAGGTGGGGTAAACTGAAACCATAGTGAAAAAACATATGAATACAGTGATGGAGGTTATGCACTATGAGAAAAGTTTTAAATTATCTAATACTGACTCCCGTACTCATGAAACCAAACAACTTACGGTCGGAATGTTTTCTAGACATGATTTTTGTTATTTTTATTACTAACTTTTTCTAAACACTTCTGTGGAAACAGAAGCATATCTACACTAAAGGTTAGGTGGATATTATGAAGCTAAGTCCAGCAATTAGTCAATAGGCACTATTCGGCAAGCAATTTTATGTCTGTGCAGTACTGCTTTACTTTTAACTGGGGGAGCAAGTAGTACATAGTGTGTGATATCTTTAAGAAAGTATTTTTAACAAGTAATGTCCGGGGTTCGATCCCCGGCCGACGTACTCCTTTACCTCGCTAAACCAGAAATAATGCTGGTAAAGAGGAGAGATTGGGTATGAGGCTAACAACCGCATCCTGTAAAAATGAACACTGCTACAGAAACTTCAAGCCACTAGCTTGAAGCCCTATGTTCCACTGGGACATGAAGGGGAAAAATGCCGCTTGCGAAGAAATAAGAAATTTAGATTTGAGGATAATCAAAGAAGTAGTAGGAATATCTGGATTATAAAGTGTTAATATATTATTTGCACGAAGTAAACCAAATGCAAACTTTATTCATTTCATTAGGATTAATTGTCATCCATCGCAAGTACAATATTGTCTGTCTTAAACATTCTTGCTTCTTCATGACCAAATATCTTTAAATAGGGAATAATGTGTTAATAAATCCAACAAGCAGTTATTTCATGTTTGCATATTATCTGTGTCTTTATCCGCCAGTCATTAGATGACGAATTCATTAGATCACCTAAGGCATTTACTTCAATCTAAAGCACTAGATTTGATGTAATCACTAGTTCATCATACATCGTAGACCAACATTATACGGATACGAAATTTTCGCTATTTCTACTTGCTTCTATTTTTGCCCTAATAAATACACACCTTTGTTTGCCTTTGCATCATATCTTGATTGGTGAGGGTAAATGGAGAGAGTTATGTCTTATTATAATACTATTATAATACTAGATAAAAGAGTAGTGTTTATATTTTATTTTGTTGTCTTCATAAAGCACTATGTATGTACTTACCTTTGCTTGTGTTGTTCCACTTCGGTGCACTGTTTTAATTATAATGATATATCGAATTACACTTGTTATTCATCACTTCAATACTTTCAGATTTATCTAGTTTTTTTTTCTAAAAACAAAACTGAATTTTTCTTACTGACTGACATTCATTCTGCTTGCACTTTGGCGGTGATCACTTTTTGTACATGTCATTGTAGAATAGAAACTTGAATTGTTTGTCAGTCTTATATATACTGTGAGATACACACCCAAATGCAAGATGATGTTACAGGACTGGACTACACTGACTCCTAGATTAGAAATAGGGAGTGAAGTGGTAAGGCACGTTGACTGCTTCACTTATTCGGGAAGTACCATCAACCTCAATGGGTTGATCTCTGATGAGATCTCATCACGGATACAGAGGGTTAGTTTCGCATATGTTAGTTCACGTCATCTCTAACGTAGACGTGATATCCGGCTATCGACCAAAGGGTGGGTGTACTGCTCATCAGTCCGCTCCATCCTCCTTTATGGCTGTGAGACCTGGCCATTGAGAGTGGAAGACATGAAAAACCTGATTAGCTATCTTCGATCATTGGTGCCTGCATTCTATCTCCCTCCCGTGTGAAGTGGTATAAAAAGGTGAGCAATATTGAGATTAGGCGTCGAGTGCTAGGTAAGGAGGGGAAATCAGTCGACGAAGTTGTGAAGTTACATCGACTGAGATGGTTAGGACATGTGTTACGTATGCCTAGTCATCGCCTTCCTCGACGAGCAATGTTAGCGGATATAGGGTCAGGCTGGAAAAAAGCTAGCAGCGGTCAAACAAAAACTTGGCACCAGTCAATGAAATCCACAACAGTTAGTTTAAGCCAGCCACGTAGGAAGGTGTGGACTAACTGGTTGGGGTCCTCGGGACGGTAAAAATCAGTGGTTGGAAACAACTGGTGACGGCTCAAAATCGTTCTCAATGTACGGCGCATATGCATCCACTCCTTGTGACTTATGATTTCCAATGAAACTGTTTTGTTCTTCGTTACTACTATTCCTTTGTCTCACACCTCTGTTTATTGTCTTTTTTATGCATTTCTTGTACTTTCTTCTGTTGCTTTGTGTGCTATATGGAGTGTGGCGACTTGAACTGCCGCACATTTGTGCAAAGTTCTCTATCGAAAACAGACAGACAGACGGATACACACCCACCTAATACTGATTGATAATAAGGAATTGAAAAATCTCTGAAATCAGTGTTCTAAGGACTCAAAGTCTATTTCTCTAATTATAGACCAACTTTATCAGCATTTTATCTGAAGTGATCCGGTTCGATGAATCTAAGCGTTCAAGCCAATTAAAAATTGTCACAGTTACATGGGCAGGTTGAATGAAGACACATAAGGACTATCTGTTGATACTAGAATTCCTCCTATTTCTGACATTGAAGTTAATCTACTGAGAAAATGTTTTGGCTTACGTCTGCCTACTTCTGTTTACCACCTGAGAAAAGATTTTAGTAGATTTTATGGGAATAATAATAACGATTTGCTTTAAATTAAACATTGTATTTATTTTTAACAAATAATTCATAAGACCAATCGGCTACTGGTAAACTTATCGTAGAAAATTTTTTTGTAATGTGAAGTGTGGGATCTGGAAGGGGATGACTAACGGGGAATTAGAAAAAGGCGGCAGAAGTAGGAATAGTGTCTAGCTTGGCTAACCAGATGACAAAAGAGGAATACCAGCTGCGCTATCCTCGAACACCTCGTCAACTCTGGATGTAGAGCACCCTTACATGACTGCTTCGAATTTCTACACAGAGTTCCTCAATATCGCATGGAAGGAGTTTGAATACGTCATCTATTCATAGCTGAATAACTGGCTATTCAGGATCTGAAACCGGACGCCTTTGTTCAAAAGCACTACACACGTTCAATCGCCCACCGTGGGCAGAGTAACGTTCTTACTAAAATTTTGCTTCATTTCATTATGGAAGTTAATTATTATTTTTTATTATTATTATCATCACTGTATCACTATTTATTAATAACACTGGATTTCCACAAAAATTTCATTAAAACACTTTATTGTTTTTCCACTAGTATTTGTCCACTCTACACAATTATATTGATTAGTTATTTTTCACACTTAACGCATCATCCTAACTTATGACCCCTTTTCCTAATTTCCAGTTAGTCATTCCCATTTAGATCATATACACCTTACTTTATGGAATACATTTTCTAAATTATTCTATTTGATACTGATATAGAAACCAAGTTTGAAGTTAAGTATCTTGGATTAATTCTTTCTTTTGACCTATCCTGGTCTTCCCATATCTTAGCGATTTCTAAAAGAATATTTCGTCTGACATTTTACATCAAGAAGTTGAGGCATTCAGGCATAACCCAATCACTCCTCTTACAGTCTGTCAACTCGTGTATTTTACCTATTCTTCTTTGCTGTTCATCCTTATTCTTTCCTGGATTGCTTAAAAAAGACTATGTCATACTTCGTAGAGCTCTGAAGACTGTCAGTAGGACGAGTAGTATCCCATTGGGCCATATCGTTGACACTGTCACTGATAGGCACCTGATGTCATGCAACAAATTCGCTAAGGGAATTTTGTCAGACTCTAAGCACCCACTCTACGCGCAGCTTCAACCTTGTGTCTCCTCAGGTAAAACAAGAAGTCTTTTCAGAAGAATTTACGCACATACTTTATGTGATGAAAATAGTCTCAGGCATGAACTAACTAACCTTCTTTGCACTTCTGAATAAACCATTTCTTCTACCCTTACAGTATCACACTTAATTGTTATTGTATTTCTTATATTTATAATCCTCTCAATTTTTTGTTTTTGTTTATTTTTTTCATAAGTGTGAACATAATTTAAGCTATGTTATAACTGTTAATTTTGTCTTTCCCCTCACTATACTATATCAACAGAACATTAGATCCAGTAATCTATAACATGCTAAAGTTTCCAAACTGAATCGCCAATACCGTCTGAAACAAACTCACTGTTATTACTATTACTATTATTATTATTATATTTAATAATCTCAATTCCTGCTTCGAATATTTTCGACTTTATATCGTAAACATGGACAAATCCCTCTGGTTAATTTTGTTTTAATTTTATTTATTTAAGTAAATCAGATGCAATGTTGTGACAAACGCTGAGAATTCCATTCTGTATCATGAGTACTGTTTTTGGAATAAAGTAAATTATTATTATTATTATTATTAAAACATTATATTTGCCTAATTATTATTCTTTATAGGATTCTCAGTCCTCACTTGATCATAAAAAAACTGTGATTAAACAACTAGAGGCGAAATCTAAAGGTATGACGAGTATTATTGAACAGATGAAAGAAAGGTAAGCAATTTTCGTGATGCTATTGATGCGAATAATTTCATACTTGCTTACACAATCACCATAGGTTTTCACACTGAGAAACACAAAACACTACGCACATTCAGTCTTCTTTTGTCACCTGTATACCATAACTTTCTTTGGAGCTTAAATTTCAATTGTGTATTCCTGCAATATACAAAACTCCAGACAACTCGTCCATATGAGTCAGTCTGAATAGTTCACTTCAAGTGCGTAAATCTTGCCATAATTCCCTTTGAAGAAAAAAATACTGAAATAAGAGTTCAGTTTAGGTATGATGGAGGAGATTTGTAGCTCAGGTGGATAATTTTGATGTAGTTGTGTTCTGTGAGCTGAATAGTTTATTTGCGAAGCTTTCATTTGAAGTGAGCTTTTAGATTTCTCCACGAGTTTATCAGTCATATGACTACATCAAAAAGAGTTCAGCTTATATGACTTCTTGTGGATGATTATTATAAAATGTTTGTTAAGCATGCACTATCAGTTCATAGATATTATTTATTTTCACTGCTCAACGAAAGTAATTTGAGTATTTGCTCATGAATATACGCATACAAACTCCATAAATCAATAGCCTATTTAGTTTGATAAGCATTGACATTTTTGATTGCACCTTTGTAAAAGTGAGTTAATAAACTTTGTCTGATTTCAGTAAGAATAAATGGAGTGCAAAACATTCTTTTTTTTATATTTCACAGATCTATGATATGTGATTGTCGGTAAACATTTGATTTCTTACATTTAGCTATATAAACTCCATCATAGTTAAAATTTTGTTTGGATAAAACGCACACTGATTCAGTAGTGTTTACTAATGACGTTTCTAGAGTTAACAATTTATCGATTATAATCCTATTGAGATCTGATTATGATTATCTGCAATATTACAGTCACTAAAACAATATTTCTGTTGTATGTATTTGATGTAAACATATGTTTTCAAGTATTGGTTTTGTAGGGATTTTTGTTTGATTGCATGGAGGATTTCATCATGAATTGGCAGAAGTTAGAATTCAAGGACGATTGCATCGGGTCCCAGTGGCTCAATGGTCTACGAGCTTGCCTTGTAACCAGAAGGTCCTGGATTAGAACCTCGGTGGGTGCGTACTGTGAAGAGTCCCAAACTAGGACGAAACAGCTATCCAGTACTCCCAGGTTTTCCAGTGGGTCTGTAACTGATGTCAGCTCATGATGATATTCTCCATGCAAGTAAACATGTGTCAGATCTCAGCTATCAGAAACGAATTCTGTATATACTAGGCTATGAGGCATTTATTGTGTAAGAGGTTGATGATACCACCTCGTTGCCCAGACTGCAGTAGAACAGAGTTGAATGCTTAAGCAAACAAAAGACATTTCGATATTGAAAACTTGTAAACTTTGGTAATTAGATACGAATTACTGAGGTTTACTACGATGATAAAAATTACTGCCTTCTGACTGAAGTTTTTAATATATTTATATGCTTTGCTTTTTTGCCACTTTCTGTCTGCGTGATTGGGTGGCGTTTTTAACTCAGAACGTTGCACAAACATATGGCCGTTAAAGTTGACACACTGCATGTATCACACAAAGGTAGAGAGTAGAGAGAAGGAAGAAATTCAAGGGAACTCTAATGAGCAGAAATGTAGGCGAGAGGGAATAGTACTATGGGGGAAGACACGAGGGTTCAGTGTAAATGGGAGATGACAAAGCGTGAATGCATCTGAGTCATGGAGAAGGATTTTCAGCCATAGCACCAATAGTCTCCAGACATTGGTACTTATCATCCCGAGGTCCCCAACCAGTCAGTCTATACCTGGCTACGTGACTGGAACACCAAGAGTGAAAGACTGCATGGATTGATTCCAGATTTTGGTTTGACCACCGAGAACTCCTTTCCAACCTAATCCTGTGTCAGGTGACATTTCTCGTGGAGGAAGGCAGGCGGTGAGGTGGCTCGTCATGCGCAACACGTGTCCTAGCCATCTCAATCGATGCAGCTTGACTGACAACTTCATCTCTCATCGACTTGCCTTCCTCGCCTAGCACTGACTCTACGCCTAAGCTCAATATCTGTCACCATATTATACCACTCTTAACTAACACGAGAGATAGAAGGCAAACCTCTGTGCTCAAAGACAGCTAGCCTCTTCATCATATCTGTGGCTGTCAATGGCCATGTCTGATAGTCAGTCATAAAGAAGGAGAGAACCAACTGCTTTGTAGTGAAGTCGTCTTCTCACCGACAACCGGATATCACGTGTACACCAGAGATGATGTACGTTGTCGAATGCCACACCAGCCTTTCGTATCCGTGTTGAGATTCCGTCTGAAAGGAATCCATTAAGGTTGATGCAGCTTCCCAATTAAGTAAAGTGATCAACATACTGAGATTCGAATTTCGCTCGCCATGGACGCATCACGTTGTAAACATTCTATAACTGCTGTTCATGCTGTTTAAAAAACTAAATGCCATTATTGTTTCCATGGGGATTGACTACATTATCCCTATGGTGTAAATCAACTAGTGTTGCCTATTAACAAGTCAACCTGTGTTTCCGCAAAATCAATTGGCACACGTACATGCGTGATAAAACTATTTAAATTTGAGACACAGGGCATCGCTGAGGAACACCTTTGGTTGTCATCACTTCAGATGACAGTTTTCCATAAGGTCTCTTACGGCTTCTTTAGTTCGAGTAGACTAGAATTTACCTCCCCTGCACTTTCTTCACGACTAGACAACTACCACAGTACCTCCCGTCCTTTGGGGTGAGAAATATGGCAAGTGTTAATCACCAGATATTCTTCGGAGACCGACTGGAAGGATGGTTACATTGGGAAACTTCCGGTATAGAGCAATTCAAGCCTGTGCCACAACTGGCACAGATCTATGCTACTGTGAACCCTAGGTTGCATCATTCTGAAGCAACTAAAACATGTCTTGATTGGAAGACTTCTCTTAGAAATGGATGGATTCAGGAAAAAGAAGTCATGTGGGAACTTACCTTGATGGTATACTTCAAGTAACTTGCAACGGAAAATTTAGTGAAGTGTTTGAAGTGAAAACACGAGAAAGTAGAACCTTCTTACTACTACCTCTTCCCTCTCTTCGCGGTGGACTAGGTCGATTAGCGGACAGTGGTGAGTGAAAGCACAGGTTTGCAAAATGACTGTAGAAGATGTGGATTTCGCGAATTATATATGCCTCGTGTTACATGAACTCGAAGGTTTAAAAAAAGCGCAAACAAGTTGGTAATAAAGTAAGAAAATACAAAAGCTCAGGTATACATAGAGAAAGCAGAGGTGATAAATGTACCCGACAGCTAGCAGCAACAGCAAGTACTACTATTAGGAGATATTTGAAGGAAGTTATTTCTCCCCCTTAGATTAGTGACGTCGTTTCAACTGTAGGCAGTATATATCAGGATGTCAATGGTGGCCTGAATCGGATATAGGATTGTTGTCGAGATATAGAGCACTCAGCACAAAGAAAAGATGCTAGTTTTCAACACCAACATCAAGTCGTGCACGTTTCTTGGAGCACTTCCAACAGACTACTATCGACCTATGACAAAACCTGTCCTTTCTTGAAACTGAGGATCAAATGGTCTACCAGAAATGATAAACTGAAATTACTTTTTGGCAGGCAGAGAAACCAGTCAACAACTTATACACCAGCAAAAATACAGGAAGAATTGAAGTTGGATTTGATAAAAGCTGAAGAGACCGCTGAGTGAAATAACACGCCGGGCTCTCCAATTCAACGCGATTATGAATGGGTAGGTTGGGTATCCGATAGTAATATCGAGAATTTAGTGTGGAGAGGAAAAGAACGCTTGTAAGTAGTTGTGTAACCAGTTCAAGGTGATGTCAGAGTACCGAGTATAGTTGTCATATGCCCCTGTTGCTTTACGTTCCACTCGCAACACGAGGAATGAATAATAATAATTCTTCAAAATATTGGAATCATATCATCACTAAATATGCTTCTTTTCTACTCTTAATATCCTGTTCATTTCTTCTTTCTCCTTCGCTTTCATGCACAGAATATCCAATCTGAGTAATGATAAAGTTTCTCAGGAACGAGATCTGTCCATTTTACGTGAACAGCTGGCCAACCTACAGATGAAATATGATGAGCAGTCGAGAGTAATTGAAAACCAAGCAGATCAAATTGAAAGTTTGAAAGGTGAATTGCATCAAAAAACTACACAATTGAATGAATTGAAAGTTACTGCTGAAGAGTTGCCTGCCTGTAAATCTGTACGTGTTATTTTTAAACTTAAGTGTAATTCTCCCATCTGACGTGTACATATAACATGTTTTTCACTCAGGTTTCTGGTCTTAGACAAGCACACCTTACAGTTAACGCCTGCAGTCATTTGGACTTTCTGTTTGTAGAAAATATAATTTTCAGGCTTATTTGATTATTGGTCGCTGAATGGGTGTAACGTTAGCTTAGTTTTTATTAAAAATTTGTATAATCCAACTGGGAAACAAAAGAATACTGCTCATTTTGACGTTTTTTTTCATTTAGTGTTAAATCAAGAGATCCATGTCAAATTTTACGCTTCTGTGCTGAAAGTTATTCTGCTTATTAACATCTTACAAAAAGATAAGAACTACAGACATATTTAAAATTTCAGTTATGTTCAGTGTACTTATTAGAAAATTGCTGTTTATGTTTTGATTTGGCACAAGTTAGTTACTGGAGTAATGTGTCTAGTCCTCTCTTTGGTGCAGATTGAATTCTCTCAGTCAACAAGGACGACACCTCAGTCCCAGGCTTCCTCCCGAGCGCTTCCAACTATCTAACATAATATCAACAACTCACAGTGCATCGTGATGGCGAGCCAACTACCATTGTGACCACATTACAAACTTGACTGATGGAATTCACTCTGCACCAAATAAAGGACTAGATACATTAGCCTAGCTACTAATTTGTGTCCAGCCAAAGTATCCGATACAGTTCTGCAGGAGGTCAATCGCAAACCCGAATGGCTCAGTGGTAACGTCTCTAACCACAACACTGGGTGATACGGGTTCAAATCCCGAAAGGGATATAAGTTCCTTCAAGGTCGCAGTTACACCTTGCTAACGAGTGTCAACAAGCACGAGACCCAGGTGAAAGGCTTCCTGCCTATCTCTTCCAACCATTTAACAGTGCTGTATATTCATGTATTGGAGGTTGTTTTTTTATTACACATACCTTGTGATAGTGTTATTATCTGTTGGAAGTGGTTTCCGAACATGGTCAAAGTTTCCCCTCATTTCTTTCATTTCTGTGCAGACTAGATTATTTAACGTGTTTCTGCTTTGATATGTTCCTTTTTGATTTTCGGAATCTTTCAGTAACAATTTCAGTATTATCAAAGTTGATTTTGTTATCTGGTAAAATCGATTATAAGCTTATTGCAAAGATTTTTCCCGATCTAGTGGATTTCTTGGCAGTTTTATTATATAGGTTTTAAGGATTCAGTAGTGTTTGATATAAGTATAAAACTTGGGCACTGTGGTAGAGTATAACTCCATAATGGATAAGATTTTATTTTGATAAGTCACAGTGTTACACAGTAATATTAACTGATGACGTTTCGAACACAAACTATTGCTCATAATCATATCAAGTCACTCACACAACTTTTTACTTCATTTATATACATGAGTGAAATTAAGTAGACAACTGAATAAAAATTAATATAGGATAATGTACATTCAGAAATGAGTGTTATTAATCGAATACAATCAGGTGGGAAATCAGATGTTTTTATAGTCATAATAAGTAACTTGTTAGAATGTAATAATGTCCGTGAATTGAAATACAATTTTAAGATTAGTTATTAACCTCTTCTGACTTGACTGACTGGTGGTAATAATATCTTCCATATTTCTGGTATTTGCTTTGAGTTATTTCTGTTGCATGTGCTGGGTGTAGACTTAATGAATCAGGATTCAGTAATCAATCTCTCTCTCTCCACCTACATAGATTAATTCTTAGTATCTAAACCCCCTCCCACCCTATTGTGTGGTTGTGTGTTAATACATGTAGTGCAATTGCTGAGCTTTTTTCTAAATTACTTATCTTAGCTAAATTCCTATGTTCCGGCAATCTGATTACCCCCCTATCGACCAGTTTAACCTATATAGTTGACCTCACAGTCATTGTGGGGTATTTTGTAAATTCTATTATTTTGTTCCATTGGGTCCACCGGGTCTTTTAGTCTACAGAGCTTGTTCCTGCCTAAGTGAGTTTGTAGGTTTGAATGCCATCTTAATTCCTGCTTTATTAAGAATCCTACGTGGGGAGGGTCTCAGATGTCCCCTCCTTATATCCTATAACAGTAGATGCCTTATATTCGCTCTTATTTATGTTATAACTACTAGTTTCACGATTATTTTTATTTAGCTTTTGGCCTTTTCTAATCTTCCTTATGAATTTTATATGATGGTTATTTGATACCAACGCTTCTCCTATCCGTTCTATTTCATCATTTAGGTCTCTTCTTGTGCTACTCAGTGCTACTGCTCTGTTTGTGAGACTTTTAGCTAAACCTGCCTTCATAGACAGATAATAGATGAAATGAATTGAAGTCTAATTATCTATTAGAATGCGTTGGTTTTCTATAAACACTAGTGTATAGCTTGCCTTTTTCTATTCGTTTTATTTTATAATCTAACATAGCTAATTCTCCTTGTTCATTTTCCGATTCAAATGTGAATTTTATTCCCTCTACTAGTGAGTTTATACGTGTCAAGAAGCTAGAGAAATGCTCTGTTTTTAACACTGTGAAAGTGTCATCCACATATCTCCACCATATTTTCGGAGTAGGATTAAATGTATTGAGAGCAATATTTTCCCATTTGTCCATAAATATGTCTGCTACGATAGGGGATATTGGTGATCCCATTACTACACCTTCTGTTTGTCTATATATTTTACCTTGGAATTTAAAGATAGTATATGTGGGGCATAACTGAATCCCTAAAATAATTTCTTCAATGGGCAGCTTTGTCCTATGATTAAGTTCAGGATCCTCAGTTAGTTCTTTTTTAATTGCTTCTAAGACCATATTGACTGGTATATTAGTATAAAGACTAGTTATATCAAAACTAACCATTGTTTCATCATTCTCTAGTTGAATGTCATTTAGTTTATTTTTCATCTCATATGAATTAGTTAGTTTAGGATTCAGTAGTGGTGTTGTTTTTCCAGGATGGGGTTGCTAGTCTTATGCCCAATCAACTGACCCTCTTCGCCGACATACTACTGGTTAAGTGAAATTTAAGTGTGTATCGGCGGCGAATCGAATCCTGGATAACGTGTGTAGTTTGTGAAATTTTCATCGCTGACTAATGGACGCTGTACACTGACCTACTACATATCCTTAATGTCTCTTACATTTATCTTTACTCAGAATCATTTTACTTGTTGACAACTATTATTTTTTATTGATTATTCTTTATTGACAGAATCGATGAAATATCTGATTTTTTTCTCATAAATAATAGTCAAACTTTCTACTGCTTCATTTTCATTTCCTCCTACTCGTTCATTGTTTTATCGTTAGTCTTGTTTTTCTCCCCGGAAAAAAATGTTTTCTTGTATATACTCAAAAATCATTGAAATGTATACAAATATTACATAAATTGTAATCGTCACTGGTGTATAGAATTTATATTACAGTCACACTTAGTTATCAGTCCACTTTTCATTTTTCAGAATATTAAAGAGTTAACGAAACAGCTTACTATATGGCGTAAACGATGTGAAGAACAAGAATGTAGCCTATCTGAAATGGCTGAAATTGTTAATTCAACTAAACTTGAAGCTGAAAGTCTTCGTGAATCACACAATGCATTTAAAGATGCTCAATGGGCAAATGATTCAGAAAATCCCGAATGTGCTCGATGCCAGAGTGCATTCAGTGTCAGTCGTCGTCGGGTAGGCCGTCAGTTATTAGTTTCATTGTTTTAAATTTCTGATATTATGATTTTTTCTATTCAACGTCTTTTCCAAGGAACTTGATAGAAACTCAATTTTACACCATAATTTTATCTATCATTTCGTCAATAGAATTATCTATTACAGTTTCGCTATATAAAGCCTTTCTGTCTTCTAATCACTCTTTTAAGTTATTAACCCATTAACTTTAGAATTTATCTACTGAATATTGATTTCTTAATTGCAATGATTATGACACAAGATATGATTGAGTGTTAATAGTTACGGGTATAGAATGGTGATGTAAGCGTAAATCATGTGAACGATGGATGGTACACGGGTGTGTTTGCATAAATACAAGTGAAACTAAGAAAGATCACAGGTTTCATTGATTAGTAATATCTGATATCTGTTGCATAAGTGGCGATTATCAGTCACTTGTATAATGCCTAACTCTGTGACGTTTAAAAAGATGATAGATACATGTAAGGTCTTCTTTTCATTGTGCAATGCAACCATGTATATTTTCAGTTGAAAACGCCCATATGGAGTGAAACACGCTACTTTGAAGTATTTAGCCTGCATATACTTAGGGTTGTGCTTTTCCAGACATACATACATAGTACAGTTGTGCGTCGGTGGCACAGTGGTTAGGACTCTTGCCGACCATGCACATGGTCCGGGGTTCGAGCCCGCACCGACGCACACCTGATATCTATGGTCGGCCTGCAAAATTTGGGCTACCGATATCCATGCTGAAAATTCCATACTTGTACCGAAAATACAGTGTGGAATCAAGCTGTAAATCAAAAAAATATGTATATATATCCACTATTGTATTGTGTAACTGCTATTTTGGTTGTACATTCTATTAAATGAATTAATTTGTTGCTATTGTTTAGTTTACTTCTTAGTCGCAATATTGTATTATGAATAAAATATGAATAGTATAATTTAGTTGCTGAAAATATTGCAAAATCTATAGCTATGTAATAGATAAGTCAAGCAATAGAGATATGTTCATCCTTTATTTACTCATCATCATCACGGTAGCCTCAATAATCTTCCATTAAGACAGAAGAAAATAAAGTTTACAGAAATCGCTTCAAAGTTTGAAATGGTCTAGAAAAATTACCACTGTCTTTTTTTATCTATTGCATTGTAAATGTTTTCTCAAGACAGAAAAGTTTTCCCCCTCTTACAGTGAATTAGAAATGTTTATTGTATGATCACAAGCTAAAATAAAACCAAATGTATGTAAGTAGCTGTTTTGTGGGAGGATGGTGTAAGAATTATATTTGAGTTTCACTTCTTATTAAGTCTGATTAATTGGTGTATTGTATTGTTGGAGAAAATGATTGCTTTTAAGGCTGTGAAAATATTCCTTTTAAATAATATTGTTCAGTAAAGACTTGTCAGTTAACTAATTAATTTATTATTATTATTACTATTATTATTATTATATCCTTTGATTCCTAGAGGAACATAGGGCTTCAGCTGCGCGTCTCCATTGCCTTCTGTTTTCTGCCAACTTTTTCACTCCGCTCCAAGTCTTCCCATATACTTTCATCTCCTCCTCACATGACCTCCTTCAAGTCACCCTCGAACTGACGACCAACTCGCCGCTTCCCTTTCGGGTTCCACTCGAGTAATGGCTTGTCTAGTGATGTCACTTGATGGTTTTCTCAGAGTACGGCCAATTCACCTCCATTTCTTCCTGCATACTTGTTGCACAATCGGTTCCCGCTGGGTCGGTTCACTCCCAGAGATCCCTGTTGCTGATCTTTTCTGGCTGGCTATCTGATCTTGAGTATTGAGCGAAGATAGTTGTCGATGAAAGTCTCTAGTTAGTTCGAAGTGCCCTTCGTGACGCGCCAAGTCTCTGATCCGTATAGTAGCACTGACTGACTTCACATTGGTGTTGAAAATCCGGATGTTATTTTTGATGCTGAGTTCTGTTGACCTCCACACAGACTTGAGAGTAGTGAAAGCTTGCCTTGCTTTCCCGATCCTTGCTTTGATATCCCCGTCAGTTCCGGCTGTAGTTGAAACGATGCTTCCCAGGTCGGTGAGTAAAGGAGGTTACTTCTTTCAGATTTCTTCCATTTATGCTGATTGTCGTCTTTTGTTGTTGTTGCTGTTGGCCAGGAATCTTCATCACCTCTGTTTTCTATATGTTCACCTAAAGTCCCATCTTTGTGCTTCTTCTGCCAAATTGTTGCTTTTCACTTGCATATCTTCCAGTTTGTGGGAAATCAGACATATATCATCGGCGAAGTCCAGATCCTCCAAGTTTTTTGTGTGAGTCCATTTTATGCCTGTTTCCTCATTGGCCGTTGTCTGTCGCATTATCCAGTCTACTGCAGTCATCAAGATCACTGGCGATAGTAGACAGCCTTGCCTCACTCCCATCCTCACTTCGAAGGATTCCGTAAGTTTCCTGTTGTGTATTACTTGGCATGCAGCATTGTCGTATAGCTATTGGATGAGGTGTTTAATTGTCGGTAATACACCGTAGTAGCGAAGTAGTTGCCAAATCACCTTTTGATCGACGCTGTCGAAGGCCTTTTCAAAGTCGATGAAGTTGAGATAGAGAGGTGACTGCCATTCTAAGCTTTGTTCAATGATGATCCGTAGAGTGGCGATTTGATCAATACATGATTTGTTTCTCCTGAATCCAGCTTGTTCCGGTCGAAGTTTTGCATCCAGGGCGTTTTTGATTCTCTCCAGGATGATTCGGCTTAGTATTTTGCTTGGGAAATTAGTTAATAGGTTAGTTAATTGGGAATAGCCACACATTATAAGTGAATGCTAGCTAATGATAGTATTCAGTTACTTAGGCTGAAGTAGGGGGCGTAGGACTCGAACCAATCTCTCAGTTATATTCTAGTCATCATCTTGAGTGTCTATTGAATTTTATTGTCATTCATTTCTTGCCTACCGAGTGGCACATATAATTTCAGAGGCACATTTACAATGTTCTTGGTTCTCTGACATAATTTCCAGCTGGCCACAAGATTTCATTCCCTCTTCACTTGATCCTTGAACATCTGATCCTCGGACGACCAACCCATCGCTTTCCATTTGTGTTTCACACGAGAACCTAATGTGTGATATAATCCGAAGGTCTATCTCCCCAGCGAATATCGAATCCAACTCCATTTCTTTTCGTATATTTGTTGGGCAATAGATTCTTCACTGGGTTCTCTGTATGCCACAGTTACTTGTCAGTTATCCTTTCCAGACAACCATCTTCTCTGTAGTATCAAAACAAGGCAAGTGTTGATGATGGTCTACAGTAGCCTGTTGGAATTGATTTTGGTGACGTATACAGTAAGTCCCTGAACCACGTAAAAGCATTCACTTCATAAAGGTGTTTAAAATTTGGATCTGGTTCTTTTTGTTGCGTGCTGTGTATCTCCACACTGGTTTCAGAGTACTGAACGTATTCATAGTTAGGTACTTGATACTAACTGGTAAATTTGAATGCTGTCATTAGGTGACAGTCTATGGTGATTTTCTATTACATGAGTAAATCGGTGCTCACACTATACTAATTTACAAATCTTTGTTTTTCTTTTCTTTCACAGCATCACTGCCGTAACTGTGGACTTATATTTTGTCACGAATGCTCTTCTCGAAAAATGACCTTACCAAGTTCTTCCAAACCTGTACGAGTCTGTGATAACTGTCATGCATTGCTTTTACACAGGTACAATGCTAAATGAACTCTAAGGTTATCAGATGTATGCCTTCATAGCCATTGTAGATAGCACACATTGTTGTAAACTGTCCCAAGAATGGGCTTCTCTTGATATATGCATAATAAACCAATGTGATGTGTATTTTTTTTTAATTTTAACGATTTGTGCATTTGCCAGTTTTCATTTGTTTTCTTCTATACACTGAAAATAACCGTGTACATATGCATTCTTTGTAACTTGTTACTTTTCAAATATATTTATACGGCTTCTGTAATCCTTGATCTGAAATTAAAACTTATAAGGGTTATAGAAAATCAAAACAAGTGATTCAGCGAAGAGACTTTTCAACGAATTTATCATCAAGCTGTACAGTCGTATACTATATATATATATATATATATAGGGTTTTTAAGAAGTTATATCCGATGAGGGAATTGAATCATAGTTGTGAATGCATAAAATAATAATAATATGAAGTGCAATTAAAACTAAAATGTTTGTGATTATAATCATAGTTAAATGTCAAGCGGCAAAACAACTTAATGTCATTTATATGGAATAATTCACAAGATGGATAGAACTTGAAAAAGGGTGTGCAATTATAGGATTAGTAGACAAATCGAATAAAACAAAAGCTTTACGTCATATTGTGTGAAATTTGATAGCATAGAATTTATCGTTGTAAAAACGAATTGATTTAGAATGACAAGTGAAATAATACCGGGGACAGTTCAAAGTGAGAATAGTAATAATAACATTTGACGTAATAAGCAAGAGTATGCAAATTGAATAGACAAAATGAAAAATTGGTAGAGCTAAAATATGATTTCGGAGTACCATACTTTAGCATTGAAGGATTAAGACCATGAAAGTTGCAGGGGTTGAACGAACTTTTTCTGTACAAAGAGATCTGGCTTTTCTGTTTCGATAGCCAAAGCTTCAGCAATACAGGTGAGTCGAGTACGTAGGGATTTGGGTAAATTGCTCTTTGCCTTGTAGATGACTTTAAAGGCTGAGGCTATAGAGATAGGGTAATCATTATCGACCAGATGTTCAATGATCGCTCTTCTTATTGCTCCACTTCCACCTTTTCGTAGCTATGCAGGTTAGTGTTCTTGCACCCTCTTGGAGAAAACTCGAGTCGAACGACCGATATACCTAGCTCCACAAGAGCAGATGAATTGATAAATGCACATAGAGTTGGTCAACAGTGGGATCTTGTCCTTCAGGTTATTGAACAATAATGGTAGGCTAGTAAAGGCTATTCTCAGAGATGCAGCAGGGAGTGTTCTTTTCAGGGACTGTGATATCCTTCGTTTCATGATATCGTAAGCTAAGTCCCCTTTGAATTCCAAGCTCATGTAAAGTATTTTCTTGGGGACGGTTGATAAGTCACATTTTGTAGGCTTTGAATGTATATTCTTATCTATAAAACGTGGTGGAAATCCATTTTCCTCAAAATGCGTAACTCATCTTCCACAGTATCAGTGCTACATATGCACCGAATACGAGTGGCAGGCGACCGGACCAGGTTTCGTTTTCGACCAATGGGTACCCAGCTGTAGAAATTTGTCAGTTGACCATTCCATAACAACTTATGATAAATCGATCTCTTCAGAGTTCCATCGGTCCCTCTTGATAAGTTCACATCAAGGAAATGAATGCTAGACTCGTTCTCCATTTCGGGTGTGAATTTTATCGCAGGATCGCATTCATTAAATACATTTAAAATATTATTCAGGTTACAATCAATATTACAAATAATAAAGGTGCCATCTACATACCTTTTATACATTTGAAAGCTTTGGATTATAGGCTTCAAGGGACCATTTTCTGGACTGGACATAAAAACGTCTGCAAGGAGAGGACCCAAGGGAGAACCCATTGCAATACCATCCTTCTGTCTGTAGATTGTTTCATTGAAAGTAAACTGTACATTCAATGTACATCTCAAAAGTAGTTCTTTAAGATCTGTAGTGGGTATCCCTAAAATATGGTAATCCCCAATCATATTTTAGCTCTACCAATTTTTTCATTTTGTCTATTCAATTTGCATACTCTTGCTTATTACGTCAAATGTTATTATTACTATTCTCACTTTGAACTGTCCCCGGTATTATTTCACTTGTCATTCTAAATCAATTCGTTTTTACAACGATAAATTCTATGCTATCAAATTTCACACAATATGACGTAAAGCTTTTGTTTTATTCGATTTGTCTACTAATCCTATAATTGCACACCCTTTTTCAAGTTCTATCCATCTTGTGAATTATTCCATATAAATGACATTAAGTTGTTTTGCCGCTTGACATTTAACTATGATTATAATCACAAACATTTTAGTTTTAATTGCACTTCATATTATTATTATTTTATGCATTCACAACTATGATTCAATTCCCTCATCGGATATAACTTCTTAAAAACCCTATATATATATATATATATATATATATACGACTGTACAGCTTGATGATAAATTCGTTGAAAAGTCTCTTCGCTGAATCACTTGTTTTGATTTTCTATATGTTACAATGGGAATTTTCCATGAGTTATAAGGGTTGTGTATAGAGTGGTCTTACCGTCTGTTACCTTTTGATTTCTCACCTATCTTATTGTTTTCTGGAAGAAAAGACAGGATGCTTATTAGGCACCGACTGATGCTTATTCTTAAATAAATACTCAGTGTTGGAATTTTTCATGTAAAAATACTGTGCAAGTTTGTTTTCTTTCTCAAAATCGAAGATGTTAACCTCACTTTTACATACACATATGATTGTGGGTTAGGGCGACACAGTGTATTGTTTGCGGGCAAATCGCTCATCGTTAAAGACACTCTTGGAGAATTCATTCACTATTTCACACCCAAAACAGTATGTTATGTAACAAAAGAACGTCTTCTAATCAACACTTCCTTATCGCCACTGTATTTATCTTTGATTTTAATACTCTACTGTAATCTTCATTTTCGGCTCTCTAAAGGAAATATTCGGAATATGTTTACGTCATAAGACTTCGTCTTACGTTTCTTATTGTGGAATATGATAGTGATCATGGACTTTACATTACATAGTACCTGGGATTTCTGATGGAGTTTACTGGCTTGTAGACAACACTGTCATATGTTTAAGGTGATTTCCGTTGAATTTCCACCAGAACTTAAGATACTGCTGGTTAGTTGAACAATTTTCAAACATGAGAGATCTGAACTTTCTGCTCAAATTATAGGACTGGCATTTATTGACTAACTGGGAGGTGTAATCCATGACCAAGTTTTTATATGCCCTTCAATTATTGCTTGATGAAAAATTGAGCAAAAGTGTATAGTCTTAGTGATCACAATGACCGTATATCTGCTACAAACCTTGGAAGACTAGGCGGTGGTTTCCTCACTGGTTCTTTATCGACACTGAAATCCATCGTGGTGGGAAAAGTTTAACTCACGCAACAGATTGGGAGAGATTCATGGAAATATTTCATTCAGTAAGTGATAATTGACGAGCGGTATTCATTGCTAAGAAAGATAAAAATAATTGGTAGACTTGGTGCCTTTCCATATCACAAACTGAATACAGGAGATAAACACCAGTAAAAAGAAGGTTAAATGGGGTATTACAGTACTTGAAATTTCTATAGCGCCCGGTGGGGCACATTACTGACTACTCAGAAAGTACGCTCCACTCCTCCCTGTCTGGGAAGAAGTGTTAATTTACTGGATGCCAAGCTCACTGTAGATGTTTCCCATAAACTGCGTTCTGGAGATTCCGTAGTCCCAAGGTGAATAACGCCTCAGCAGCGCTATTTACATCTTTTATTGAGTTAAGCATGGCCTCATGACGTTGTTAAGTGGTCAACTGTCATACGAATATACAGGTTGCAATTTTTAGCGGATGTTAGAAATACTATAACATCTCTGTTGACTTTGGTCAGGCTGCCCTGTTGTTAACAAAGAAACCTATAGGATGGCGGCGTTTTGGAGGTACAAGTTCATTACATGCTTCACAGATAACCTCCGCATCGCGCTGCAACAGTGGCCATTAAGAACCTCGTATTGAATTTTTCCTCTTGCGTGGTTAAAAATGCCCAAATTCCTGATGCATTTCATTACCTAACACAACTTCGATAAAGGGATCGTACGACTTACTGGCTTGGCTAGATTAAATAAATATAAGATATCTTCCACCAGACATACGTATCTCTACCTGATACAAATATACACAACCACTAATTAAGTGTCCTATTATATCATCCTTGGTGGTTTGTAGTCTTAAGTAACTAAAGCAAGTGCATATAGAACAGGTCGTGGTCGGTTGTCTTAAGCTAACGACATTTAATTTTCCAAGCAGGAGAAACTAAGATCTTTCACACCTCTACGGGATGCCCGAAAAAAACCACCGTTAGAGTGTTGTCGTGATTCGATATTCACGAGTGAAATAAAACTCCTTGAGAACTTCATGTCGACAGGTTATTTGGACTCCAACTTGAGAAGAGCCTTAAGAACATAAAGGTCATGGAATTTCTGCCTCAAAGAATGGCAAACAGAACGATAACGAACGGGAGTCTGGAGATGAAATCATTACGTCAATTTTGCGCTTGACAGATGCCATTTACATATAAATTCAATAATTTCTGGTGAGGTAAGTTGCAGGTCAACACTCCATGCAATGACTTTTAACTCCGGTATACAAAGACTCCACGCTAATGAACACGAAATTCTCACATCTATTGTCAGTTTCTTCGGAGAGTTTCGACAGCACGAATGGGAATTAATGTTTGTAAATTAAAAACAAATGGGTTTTCCTTATTTTTCCCATAGCAAGGAAATAGCCTGAAGAACTCCTCTACAATAAAAAGAAAGAATACTGGCCACTGCGTTATCTATGTATGTTACTGTTCAGTTACGTTTTTTCTGCGTCGGTGGTACATCGGTTAGTATGCTTGTCAGTTATGCACATGTTACGGGGCAATCTGCAGCTTACGCACGCCTGATATAAATGATCAACCCCTAAATTTGATTCGTA